CCCATAGAACCTCATAACACCCCATAAAGACCCATAAGACCCCATAGGACCCCATGGGACCCCATAAAACCCCATGGGACCTCATAAAATCCCATAAGACCCCATAGGACCCCATAAAAACCCCATAAGACCCCATAAAAACCCCATAAAATCCCCCCCTTTTTCCTCCCCAGCTTCGAGAGCTTCGAGTCCAACAGCTTCGAGCAGTTCTGCATTAATTACGCTAACGAGAAACTCCAGCAGCAATTTAATTGGGTGAGATAGCAAGCCCCGCCCCCCTTCCCCGCCTTTTAATGAGCGTATGCTAATGAGGCTCCCCCCTCATTAGCATGTATTCAAATTGGAACAAGAGGAGTACGTGAAGGAAGGCGTCCCCTGGAGCTTAATTGAGTTCGGCGATAATCAAGGCTGCCTGGATTTAATTGAAGGCAAATTAGGGCTGCTGGATCTGCTGGATGAGGAGTGCAAGGTGAGGGGGGGGGAGCTGCTCGTTAATTAAGCCTCGGCTTCGTTAACGAGGGGGTTAATTAGGGGGGGGGGGGAGGACGAGGCGCCCATTGGGTTCCATTGGTTTCCATTGACTCCCATTGATTCCCATTGGATTCCATTGATCCTACAGACCCTACAGATCCCATATAGACCCCATTAAACCCTATACAGACCCTATTGACCCTACAAACCCCATACAGACCCCATTAAACCCTATAGAGTCCCTATTGACCCTACAAACCCCATACAGACCCCATTAAACCCTATACAGACCCTATTGACCCTACAGATCCCATATAGACCCCATTAAACCCCATACAGACCCTATTGACCCTACAAACCCCACACAGACCCCATACAGATCCTATTGACCCTACTGACCCCATATAGACCCTACTGACCCCATATAGACCTTACTGACCCCATATAGACCCCATAGACCCCATTAAACCCCATACAGACCCTATTGACCCTACAGACCCCATACAGACCCCATTAAACCCTATACAGACCCTATTGACCCTACAGACCCCATACAGACCCCATTAAACCCT